CGACAGGAATAAAGCTTCATTAAAACTAATTAAAAATGAACTTTTAGTTTACTTAAATCTTTGTTTGCCATGTTTAGAGGCTATTAATGTATTTAAGAGCGACAGCAATTTGTTACTGGCTGCTAGGTGTAACAAAAAATATGTTTTTAAAAACAAAAAATAAAATACTTTATTTTTATGCCGAGTACTTTTTTTTAACCTTTTAGTCGAGAAATACTTTATGTAAAGCCTGAAAAGGTGGCAACCCTAGCAATAACTGAAAGACTGTGAGAGACGCTCTCAGAGGCGCTGAAAGACTGACAGACTGAAAATTTTTGTCTAGGGTCATATTTTAATGCTTTCGTTTGTTATACGACATTCCTACATCATTTTCTGAAACGATATAACAAAGATTTGACTCTTTAAAACACATTGTGATGAAGATAGTATAGGATCCTATGTAGAACAACATTTAAAATTATATAGTCTTCAAGAATATTTATAATATTCCTCAGGGCATTTCGAACATTTATTACCTCCAATTTGAGTTCATCAATTAGAGTTTCCAAGTTCTCTCCTTTGTAATTCGTTTTGGTGGTAAATAGATATTTACGTAACAATTTGATGGGTATCGGCCAAATGCACGCTGACATTCTGTAAAAGAGTGACCAAATTCAATGCCGTCGGTTTCCCCATCATAGAGACTCCGGCTTCGTTTTAGAGAACAAAGTGCACCGTTGCGGTTTTAAACCCAAATTCGCATTTAATGGATAGATTGGAGCGATACAAAACTTCATTAGAGACCAGTGGCAACAATGGCGCACTTTGGATGCCTTTATGGGTACTTTAGACTAGAGCTAATCTTAAATAAATTAAACGTATTACTCTTTTAAATCGTTCACACCATTGAGAACATGTTGTGTTAAAATACAGTTCTTAATTCCGTTTTAAATTCAATTGCCTATCACGAAGCATTAGAAATTTAGACCCTTAGTTTGAGGGTAATATCTGCTGCTATTTCTGATAATTAATTTAGATTTTAGACTAATTAAAACGCTGTAAATTTCATAAAATATTATACCTAAGAATTCGAACACAGGTCTCACCCACTTAAAGACTTTTTTATATCATTAAAGAGCTGGATTAGTAGAGGCTGGCTTGGAAAATTCTGATCTCCAAAAACAAATTGTAAAGTTAAACTGGTCACTATTATGTATAAGTATTCATGATATACATTTTCTTACAATATTTTTTACATCCGCCTGTAATTCCATATCTCTAGGTCAGTGGTTCCTAACCTTTTTAATATTGTTACCCCTGTGACCTATTAGGAAAACTGATTTTACCCCGATCTTAAAATGTCATCAATACAAACAATATCTTTAATAGTCACAAATTGCACATCAGTCTTACAATTTTATATATCTAAACAATAAATTAAGTAAAGATAGTTGGTGTGATGGTTGGTAGGTGTGATGGTTGGTATTATTTTTCATTTTTCAAGTTTTTTTATGTTAGCTTTAATTTCGTTTAAAACGCATCCTAAGTCCTGTTCCACATTTAGAAGGATTCTGGTCTTTGTCTTCAGTGAAACCACAGTTGAAAAACCCCTCTCACATCTATAGGGTAATTCAGGGTGATATAGTCGTATTTTTTTAAAGGTAGAATTTNATATATCTAAACAATAAATTAAGTAAAGATAGTTGGTGTGATGGTTGGTATTATTTTTCATTTTTCAAGTTTTTTATGTTAGTTTTAATTTCGTTTAAAGCGCATCCTAAGTCATGTTCCACATTTAGAATGAGTCTGGTCTTTGTCTTCAGTGAAAGCACAGTTGAAAAACCACTCTTACATCTATAGGTGGTGATAAAGGGTATTGGCATTTTTAAAGCTCTGTTAGCTAGAGGGACCAGCTTTTCGCCAAAATGTGCTAAGATTATAATTTTGAAATTCTATTCTGTAAATCGGCGTAGTCCAAAATATTCCACTTTGGTCGCCAGGTCTTAATATCCAAGATCTGGACTGACGATTATCCATATCCGGAAAATATTGTTTTAGTGAGTTTACTGCTACAGATAAATACCGAACCAGCTTCTTTGTTACCCCCACAGAATAATTGATTTACCCCCGCGGGGGTAATTACCCTCAAGTTCGGAATCACTGCTCTAGGCTTTCTAACATTATTTTATCTGCCGCGCCCACCGCCCACGTTTCACACCGCATACATCGTTAAGTTTTTGCGAAAATATTTACGTTTTTTCGTAACAGTTTCCTTCACATATGTCTGTCTTGTCTTATGACTTCACAAATCGATTCCCTTAAACGTCAGACTTATTATTTACACGTCCCAGTTGTAAGTTGAAATTTATATATGAATAATATTATATAGAGCATGATAACTCTGTTTGCTCTTTCCACAAAAGTCGTTAAATCAAACATCTTGTAAGTTTATACGTATTTGTAACGAATAAACTTTGAAACTCAACTTATGGTATTAAAAACTGTTTATATATTGTCGAGTAATGTACTACATTAATCGATATTCCCAGTCAATCACTTAAGCTCATATAACTCCTACCATAAAATTAAGAATACTTAAAACACTTTTAAGAATTTTATTACAGTTCAGTTATGTATTGACAGCTGTTGTGATATTTGTGATAGAAGTGTTAATAAATTTCTAAATCGGAGGCTACTCTGGTGGCTGCAAAATCGCTAAAAGATTAGAATTTGGATGAATCAGATAGCTGATCTGATGCACTCGACACAATTAATTGAAAGTGTTCAATAAGATCCCTGAAATATATAAATGGAAAGAGATTTTTAAAATAGTCGTAGATAGACGATTCCATTAAGGATAAGCGAACTTTAAGTTGAATTAATCTTCTTAGATTCAGGATTGGCGGTTTGAAACCGATTGGAATATTATCCAAATTAATCGGCATGTCTACATTGCGAAGTGGAGTATAAAAGTCGTGTAGATGGTGTAGAGATTGCATAATTCACATTGCAGAAAATATTATATTTGTTGTGGCGGGGTCGCCCGTGTGTGTAATAACTCTTACCTACCAATGGAAATGCCGTGGTGTTCGTTCTTCGTTTTAATCCGACGTCAAGACCACCTCATTCATTCTGCTCCTGAAAAAGAAGACAATTTATGTTTCTGTGCTGCCATTTCGCTGAGCAATTTATTATTTAAGAAAAATGAACGCCGACTGGTAAACTTTTTTAGGACCACCCCGGCACGACTGATTTATTTACGCGTCTATAAATCAATTACGACTGATAGATGTTTGCAACCAGGTATTGGCTAATCGATACGATGGAAATTTCGAACGTTTGAAAAGTTTCACTGACACGTGCTAAATGGCTCTGTATTTTCGACGGTCATTTATTTGTGGCCACGCAAAAACAATAAATGTTTTAATTGAAAAAGATGGTCGGCTTTAGTGCCGGGCAAAAATATCGATAATTAACTTTGATACGTATATCGATAACACTAATAGCAACTGATAATTATCAGCATATCGATATATCCGATGATCATCGATAGTTATCAATATATCAATAGTTATATTATCAATGAATATGTACCGGTATATTGAGAAGTATCGATAATTATCGAATATATGTATTGATATGTTGATAAATATTTAATGTCGAGTTATAAAAGTCCATAATTAAAAAAGAAAAATTCCCAATTCCCTCCTAATTAAGTGGAAAATAGAGAATTGCAAAATGTCATCTGTAAATGTTAATATTAAGGTCCATATTTTAACAGGATCTATGTCTAGAGATATTTTATCGGTTTTTAAATAGCCTTCGAAAAAAAAAACAAAATGACCAATTTTTTTGAAAGCCTTCAATATTGATATATTAGTAATTATGGATTTTTAAAAATTTTTGAAATTAGATTTTCTACAAAAAAAAAATAAGTAAAAAATAAATAGTTATACATTTATGGTATACGGATTTATTTAGAATCAATATATACTATGAATTATATACATATCAATTGCTTATTGTTATCAATGCATCAATAACTACCGATAATTTTCTAGAATATTGTAGCGAGCATGATCAAGTTTATATGCGATCGGGCATTCCTGTGTGTGAGAGGCTTATCGATTTGCCGACTAGCCGCGGGCGCCTTTCTTCATGTTCGCGTATTTGTAAATGTGTGTGTCGTTCCTGCGTTCCGGGATAGCAATTGAACAGTTCCAAAAAAAAATAAACTTTTCCGGGCGGCTCGAGAAGGTTCCCGAAAGGAAGCAAAAGAGTATTTAAAGGAAGAGACGATCGCCGAAAAGAGTAGAAATAAATTGACCGTTGCAGAAGTGAATCTAGAAATAAATTGACAGCGCAGTGAATAGTGATACATCAACAGTACTGTAAATAAATAGAGTAATTCATCACTTAAGTTAGTAATAATTTAATAGTGTTTTTAAGTCCTTTGATAATAATTAGTGTAAATAAATAGTTTTTGTTGTTGTGAGTCTTAGAAAAAGTTTTGTTAAACCCACGAACATTACAATACATACAGTCGAATTTAAATAACTCGAACTGTGATGTGACACATAAAAAATTCGAGTTAGCAATACTTCCAGTTATCAAATAATACTTTTTTAATTAGTATTTCTTTGTGAATGAACATT